GGACCCCTCCTGGGCACAGGGACTCTTCCTGGGCACAGAGACTCCTCCTGGACACAGGGACCCCTCCTGGACACAGGGACCCCTCCTGGACACAGGGACCCCTCCTGGGCACAGAGACTCCTCCTGGACACAGGGACCCCTCCTGGACACAGGGACCCCTCCTGGGCACAGGAACCCCTCCTGGGCACAGGGACCCCTCCTGGACACAGGGACCCCTCCTGGACACAGGGACGACCCCTGGGCACAGGGACCCCTCCTGGACACAGGGACCCCTCCTGGGCACAAGGACTCCTCCTGGGCACAGGTACCCCTCCTGGGCACAGGGACCCCTCCTAGACACAGGGACCCCTCCTGGACACAGGGACCCCTCCTGGGCACAGGGACCCCTCCTGGGCACAGGGACGACCCCTGGACACAGGGACCCACGTGATGCGTGGCACAGCCCGGCTTCAGCCCACAGCTTGGGGTTGGGACCCAGCGGCCTGAGTGCAAGACACGCTCTTAACAGGGCTGGATCTACGTACTAAGTATATGTGCTGAACCTCTTACGCACCGTACGTAGCCAAACCGTGCTAATCGTAGGGGGGGGGGAGGACACCAAGCTGAACACGACAGCTCGTGACGAGCCCCCCGCCTCGTGCAACATGCAGGCGGTCGCGCTGAGCCTTGGACGGCGTTGTCATCGTTCAGACAACGAGCGGCAGCGCCGCGTGATGCCCTCGCACGTCTCGACACGAGGACAGAGCGAGGCCTCGCCCAGAGAGCTGCTGGCCAACAGGGCCACTGACTGAGTGTCTGGGGAGTCTCCGTCTGCCTGTCCCCCACCAACAGGGCCACTGACTGAGTGTCTTGGGAGTCTCCGTCTGCCTGTCCCCCACCAACAGGGCCTCTGACTGAGTGTCTTGGGAGCCTCCGTCTGCCTGTCCCCCACCAACAGGGCCTCTGACTGAGTGTCTGGGGAGTCTCCGTCTGCCTGTCCCCCACCAACAGGGCCACTGACTGAGTGTCTTGGGAGTCTCCGTCTGCCTGTCCCCCACCAGCAGGGCCACTGACTGAGTGTCTTGGGAGTCTCCGTCTGCCTGTCCCCCACCAACAGGGCCTCTGACTGAGTGTCTGGAGAGTCTCCGTCTGCCTGTCCCCCACCAACAGGGCCACTGACTGAGTGTCTTGGGAGTCTCCGTCTGCCTGTCCCCCACCAACAGGGCCTCTGACTGAGTGTCTGGGGAGTCTCCGTCTGCCTGTCCCCCACCAACAGGGCCACTGACTGAGTGTCTGGAGAGTCTCCGTCTGCCTGTCCCCCACCAACAGGGCCACTGACTGAGTGTCTTGGGAGTCTCCGTCTGCCTGTCCCCCACCAACAGGGCCACTGACTGAGTGTCTGGGGAGTCGCCGTCTGCCTGTCCCCCACCAACAGGGCCACTGACTGAGTGTCTGGGGAGTCGCCGTCTGCCTGTCCCCCACCAACAGGGCCACTGACTGAGTGTCTGGAGAGTCGCCGTCTGCCTGTCCCCCACCCACCCCCAGCTCGATCGTATTAGCTGCATCAGGCAGTTGCCAAAAATGTGAAGATGCCCTCCACACATTTTATTCTTGAGTTCTGAAACAAAATCAATACCGGACCACAATAACGGTCTCGAGGGCCCACGCGTTTGAGGTTGTGGTTTTTGATACTTCGTTAATATTTTACGAGGAAATATGGTCTGAAACAAAATAAGAGTTCACCACGGGCGATGTATCAAACGTTGTCTATTCGTCTCGAATAGCCACGCGATTTGTACACAGGCCACAGACGCCTCGCTGTTATTGGCAAACTGGCGTTTTTGAAACAGTGCCATTCTAACGACGCAACCCACTGACCTCTATCCGCTAATGAGGCCTCGCCTCTGACCTCTGTCCTCCAGCAAACCCTTTCATAACCTCTGAACTTCAACCCAAACCCTGCTTCAAATCCGCATCGACAACTGCAAGAAATATGCGTGCAATGTAACCGCACATTGTGATGGCTACGCGCACGCACGCTGACTCGCCTGCCGCAATATCCTGCCTTGAATTAGCAACCTGGGATTTAAAAGCAATATCAAAGTGGACTAAGATTAAATGAGGACCGTCGCGGGCTTCGCGCGTACACACGGGGGGGGGGGGGCTGAGCGGCAGATCAGAAGGTAGCAGCAGCAGACAGCGACGCCTCATTACTCGTTACTCGTTACTCGTGACTCGTTACTCGTTACTCGTTACTCGTGACTCGTTACTCGTGACTCGTCACTCGTCACTCGTTACTCGTTACTCGTGACTCGTTACTCGTGACTCGTTACTCGTTACTCGTTACTCGTCACTCGTTACTCGTGACTCGTGACTCGTTACTCGTGACTCGTTACTCGTTACTCGTCACTCGTGACTCGTGACTCGTTACTCGTTACTCGTGACTTGTTACTCGTTACTCGTGACTCGTTACTCGTGACTCGTTACTCGTTACTCGTGACTCGTGACTCGTGACTCGTTACTCGTTACTCGTTACTCGTGACTCGTGACTCGTTAATCGTTACTCGTGACTCGTGACTCGTGACTCGTTACTCGTTACTCGTGACTTGTTACTCGTTACTCGTGACTCGTTACTCGTTACTCGTCACTCGTTACTCGTTACTCGTGACTCGTCACTGGCGACTCGTTACTCGTTACTCGTTACTCGTCACTCGTTACTCGTTACTCGTGACTCGTTACTCGTGACTCGTTACTCGTTACTCGTCACTCGTTACTCGTGACTCGTTACTCGTTACTCGTCACTCGTTACTCGTCACTCGTTACTCGTGACTCGTGACTCGTTACTCGTTACTCGTTAGTCGTTACTCGTGACTCGTTACTCGTTACTCGTTACTCGTTACTCGTCACTCGTTACTCGTGACTCGTTACTCGTTACCCGTTACTCGTCACTCGTCACTCGTTACTCGTTACTCGTTACTCGTGACTCGTGACTCGTTACTCGTTAGTCGTTACTCGTGACTCGTGACTCGTGACTCGTTACTCGTTACTCGTCACTCGTTACTCGTCACTCGTTACTCGTTACTCGTCACTGGCGACTCGTTACTCGTTACTCGTGACTCGTTACTCGTTACTCGTGACTCGTTACTCGTTACTCGTGACTCGTTACTCGTGACTCGTTACTCGTGACTCGTGACTCGTTACTCGTGACTCGTTACTCGTTACTGGTGACTCGTTACTCGTTACTCGTTACTCGTGACTCGTTACTCGTGACTCGTTACTCGTTACTCGTGACTCGTTACTCGTGACTCGTGACTCGTTACTCGTGACTCGTTACTCGTTACTCGTTACTCGTGACTCGTTACTCGTTACTCGTTACTCGTGACTCGTGACTCGTTACTCGTGACTCGTTACTCGTGACTCGTTACTCGTTACTCGTTACTCGTTACTCGTGATTAGTTACTCGTGACTCGTTATTCGTTACTCGTGACTCGTTACTCGTGACTCGTTACTCGTGACTCGTTACTCGTTACTCGTTACTCGTGACTCGTTACTCGTTACTCGTAACTCGTTACTCGTTACTCGTGACTCGTTACTCGTTACTCGTGACTCGTGACTCGTTACTCGTTACTCGTGACTCGTTACTCGTTACTCGTGACTCGTTACTCGTGACTCGTTACTCGTGACTCGTTACTCGTTATTCGTGACTCGTTACTCGTTACTCGTGACTCGTTACTTGTGATTCGTGACTCGTTACTCGTGACTCGTTACTCGTTACTCGTGACTCGTTACTCGTTACTCGTTACTCGTGACTCGTTACTCGTTACTCGTCACTCGTCACTCGTCACTCGTTACTCGTCACTCGTTACTCGTGACTCGTTACTCGTGACTCGTTACTCGTTACTCGTTACTCGTGACTCGTCACTCGTCACTCGTTACTCGTTACTCGTCACTCGTTACTCGTGACTCGTGACTCGTCACTCGTGACTCGTTACTCGTTACTCGTGACTCGTCACTGGCGACTCGTTACTCGTGACTCGTTACTCGTTACTCGTAGGGAGGTCGACAGTGGTTATCCTATGGAGAGGCTTCCTCCCGCCATGGCAATGTGGAATTCCCACCACTGGTTGTGCAGGGCTGTAAACGGGAGATGAGCAGCAATGTCTGAACGCTCTTTGCTGGTCAGGACAATCGCTTTGTCGACTTCTGTCTCTCACAGGCTGACTGCGGCTGCAAAGCGGAACGTTCAAGACCCCGCGACGCTGACGTCCGTGAGAGCCTCGCCACCCGCGTGCTGCAGCGTCAGGGCTCTACTCGCAACACCACCAACAACACCACCAACAACACCACCAACAACAACAACAACACCACCAACAACACCAACAACAACACCAACAACACCACCAACAACAACAACACCAACAACAACAACACCAACAACAACAACAACACCACCACCAACAACACCAACAACACCACCAACAACACCACCACCAACAACAACAACACCACCAACAACACCAACAACACCAACAACAACACCAACAACACCACCAACAACAACAACAACACCAACAACAACACCAACAACAACACCAACAACACCAACAACAACACCACCAACAACAACAACAACACCACCACCAACACCACCACCAACAACACCAACAACAACACCACCAACACCAACAACAACACCAACAACACCACCAACAACACCACCAACAACACCACCACCAACAACACCACCACCAACAACACCAACAACAACACCACCACCAACAACACCACCAACAACACCAACAACAACACCAACAACACCAACAACAACACCACCACCAACAACAACAACACCACCACCAACAACACCACCAACAACACCACCAACATTCATCTTTTCCCGCGGTGCAATTGGCTCATTTGCGCAAGAGATCCCTTTGACCAAGCAAGGTTCACGCCGGAGGGCTCCTTCTGCCCCCACCTGCCGCCACCCTACAACGCAGCAGCATCATCATCGTGATCACCTGGTCGAAGTAGATGACCCTGGTGCGGTTGCTCATCTCTGGCGGCTCATGGTTGGTGCTGCGCACCACGGAGAACGCCACCTTGGCACCGCCGGAGCGCACCGAGAATCCAAGCGACGAGGGCCCCGAGAAGGGCGACGGCGTCTCCGCCGAGTCGGCCGAGGGGTTGGAGTCGCACACCACGAGGCATTTGCCCTCCAGCACGATGGGCTCCGTGTCGTTCTGGGCCAGCGCCGACGGCAACAGCGGCGCCAGGACCACGGCGACGGACAGCGACAACAGCAGCAGCAGTGGCGGCGGCGGCGGTGGTGGTGGTGGATGGAGAGGCGCACCCGCGGAGAGGTGGCGCGTCGCCCCAGAGCGCAGCTGGCGGTGTGGCCCCACCATGGTGCTGGTGGTGGTGGCGGTGGTGGTGCTGGTGGTGGTGGTGCTGGTGGTGCTGCTGGTGGTGATGCTGGCGGTGGTGCTGGTGGTGCTGCTGGTGGTGGTGCTGGTGGTGCTGCTGGTGGTGGTGCTGGCGGTGGTGGCGGTGGTTCGTGCCGCTGGGGAGGGCGGGGAGGACGCGCGCGGCCTGGAGGTGCCCGTGGGGTCCGCGGGATGAACCGCGGAGGATTCTTCTCCCCGCGTCGCCACCGCCGCCACCGCCTCTGCCTCCTCTCCCGCACGGCACCGCAGCTCCTTTGCTCTCCTCCCTCAGCGGTGGCTCGCTGCGAGAAATGAGGCAATGCCGCGTTGTTAGTCGGAATAATGAATAAATAATAATAATAACAAGATGACACTGTACGCGTAGCGTTAACTCGGCCACCACTCCAGTTTGATTCCCAGCCATGGCCAAATGCCGCAGCGAGAGATGTCAGAACCTCCCTCCCCAACAACCCGCCACTGGCCAGTTTGGTGAAGTATGGTGAAGTATGGTGAAGTATGGTCGAGCAACCCCGACGACCGACATGGCGTTGTGGTGGCCTTGCATCCAGCGACGAGCTCACAAAGGGGGTGAAACGCCATGGACGTGGCTCGTGACAAACATCCAGAGCAGGGACTCTTCACCTTCACGGCAACCTTGCGCCCGTTTGGTTTCTCAAACGTAATTCTTTTCATTTTAATAATGTCAATAAATGCATCGGAGTTTGATGAAACAAAGTAGTTGTTGCTAACGTGCCCGTGCCTAATTTTCGTTTTCGATTATTTACCTTCTAAACAAATCTGGCCGTGTCTCGCACCCCCAGAAATGGCATCTCGCAACCCCTGGGGGTGCACGCAAGGGGGGTTAAGAAGAGCCACCACTGGCTTCGAGGAATAACGCAGAGTAGAGGTAGAGGCGCAGCCCTACAATTGCCCGCTTCACACCACTGCTGGCAGAAGGGGCTCCTCGAGAGAAGCTCAAGAGAAGTGTCCCTCCCGACGGTCATTTCACCTCCTCGTCCACGCCGAAAGCGTAAGGAGTACCCACACTTTACCCCACCACACAAGACTTGCTCGTCGACTTACAGGTGTACACATGCATATTGCTGTTTGTACACATGCATACTGCTGTGTGTACACATGCATACTGCTGTGTGTACACATGCATACTGGGTGTACACATGCATACTGCTGGGTGTACACATGCATACTGCTGTGTGTACACATGCATACTGCTGGGTGTACACATGCATACTGCTGTGTGTACACATGCATACTGGGTGTACACATGCATACTGCTGTGTGTACACATGCATACTGCTGTGTGTACACATCCATACTGCTGTGTGTACACATGCATACATACTGGGTGTACACATGCATACTGCTGTGTGTACGCATGCATACTGCTATGTGTACACATGCATACTGCTGGGTGTACACATACATACTGTTGTGTGTACACGTGTATACTGCTGGGTGTACACATGAATACTGCTGTGTGTACACATACATACTGGGTGTACACATACATACTGCTGTGTGTACACATGCATACTGCTGTGTGTACACATGCATACTGCTGTGTGTACACATGCATACTGCTGTGTGTACACATGCATACTGCTGGGTGTACACATGAATACTGCTGTATGTACACATACATACTGCTGTGTGTACACAGGGACGTTGGGCGGGGGGTTGGTGGGGGGAGGGAGATACAAATAAAATGGTGCCCCATTATTTCACCTGCCAAGTGGAGAGCTCGAATCTGCGGCATCTGGATTGATTGCCAGTCCAGTGGGTGCCACCCAAACCCACCGCGCCACCGCGATGTGGGCATCCCCGCCCTGGGAACGAGAGCCGTGGGCCCAACACCGCCGACAGCCCAACGTCAAATCTCAACCAGCAGCCGCCAAACGGCGACAAAGACGTCGGCGTTGCCGTGCACGCGTAAATAACGCGAGTCATAAAATCAACGCATCTGCCTGTGAGCCCGAGCACACAAGGGCTCGGAGCGGGTGACAGAGGAGCGGGTCGATGGGGAGTGCATCGCCCCGCGTTTATGGACTCGCATAGCGCGCCCAGAGGAGCCCGCCCGCGCGCTGGCAGGCACCGTAAATTGTGGCGAGATATATAAATAATTTAGCAGTAAAGACGCCAGCGCGATTTAATTCATTCCTTAAATCTTCGCGCCACCCCACCCCGCGATCTACACGTGTTCATTATTATTATTGCTGTTGTTGTTGAGATATCAGCCCCCTTCTCTCTAGCCTCTCACGCCGGTCAACAGGGAGCTAAAAGTCATTAAACAGCATAACACACATCTTTCTGATTGAGAGGGGGTCAAATACTTACTTCCCTCACCGTAACACACTCGCTGTTTTTTGTACCGGGTTTAATTGCCGGCACGGCCGGATGCAAACCAACGAAACGCACACGAGCGCAGCGCACCCAAACACGATGTCATAACCAACTTACTCTACTGCCCTCCTCGTGGAATCAGAAAATGTCGCTCCGAAAGGGGACGCGATCTGGACACAGTCCCCCACTCGGCGAGCTCCTCCGGCAGGCGATGGAGGCTGCGTTGGCTGCAGGGTCTCGTAGCCCGCGTGCCGAGCCACCGCGTGCCCAGCCACCGCGTGCCCAGCCACCGCGTGCCCAGCCACCGCGTGCCCAGCCACCGCGTGCCCAGCCACCGCGTGCCCAGCCACCGCGTGCCCAGCCACCGCGTGCCCAAGCAGCTTTTGTTTGTTTAGAGGGGGCTAAACGGGCGCAGCACGGGCTAGAGAAGAGATGGAGTGACGTGGTACAATAGGGTGTGGAGCTGAGTGGACTTGCCAAATGACTTTTACGAGCGTTGTCAAGATCGGCCTCTGCGGAGGAGGCTCGTGAAGGACGCCGCTACTGGGCAATTGGAGGCAGTCGCCCTCAAGCAACAAAGGAGGGCAGAGGAGCGACGCTCACAACAACGAGCGGAGTGCCGGGTGGATAAAATGAAGCAAGTTAGCAAAGTCGACTGAAGCGAGTGAATACTCCTTCACACGCACGCACTGCGACACTGGTGGAGGCAGTGATAGGCACCTGCATCTACTGCACAATCTATGATGGACACTGAATCTCCTGCACAATCTATGATGGACACTGCATCTACTGCACTATCTATGATGGACACTGCATATACTGCACTATCTATGATGGACACTGCATATACTGCACTATCTATGATAGACACTGCATCTACTGCACTATCTATGATGGACACTGCATCTCCTGCACTTTCTATGATGGACACTGCTTATACTGCACAATCCATGATGGACACTGAATCTCCTGCACAATCCATGATGGACACTGCATCTGCTGCACAATCCATGATGGACACTGCATATGCTGCACTATTCAACCTCCAGGGAGCACAGCCACGGACAAGCGACTCACTACTGAGTCAGTAGCAGCCAGTTGGTGGAAGGGGGATGCGTAGATTGAATACAATTACAGCCCGGGCCTCATTGCTCATGCAGCGTATCCCCGAGGCGCCTCCTAGCCGGGACCCGACCCCTGCAGCTCAGCCCCGGACAGCTCCGGCTGAGATGAATCCCCGCCTCTGGTGCCGTAGCGAGGCGGGCGATCCACTCTGTCGTCTGCGCGCTCATTCCGGGGAAGCGCCCTCGCGAGTCGAGGCCTCGCCGCCGCCGGCAGCCGCCCCTCCGTGGAGATGGAATGGAGGGACAGCGTAGCCCAGCAAGCTGCAGAGTATTGTGGGAATATTCCGTGGGATGACTGCGTCATGTCAACCTGGATCGTTAGATGTTATAACGGCCGGTGGTGGATATGCGTGTGGCTGCCTGTAATCCAGGGCACACGATTCTTACACACACACACATCCATACGTACACAGACAAAGATCCCCCGTATATACTGAACAGACTGTTGGGGCAAGTGCTGTAAGCGAGTTCTTTGAAGGCCAGCACAGCACACGTAGGGGAGGGTGGCCAACACCGAACCCGGCTACCTTTGTCTCCCTAGTGGCACTATTTACACGCACCGCACTAGGTACTCATTTGAGGCTGAGTCGACCTAGGGCAGGCTCAGGAACGGTTCAGATAATCGTCGCCGGTGTTGGTGGCCGTGAACGGGATTCGAACTCGGGTCGCTGGCCATATAGCGCGGCGCGCGCAAATTGCTGCTCCACCGCTTCCCATCACACACAGACACACACACAGACACACGCAATAAAGCACACAGTCACGTACACGCACGTAATAAAGCACACACACAGACACGTACACGCACGTAATAAAGCACACACACGCAGACACACGTACACGCATGTAATAAAAGCACACACACACACAAACACACGTACACGCACGTAATAAAGTACACAGACACACACAGACACACGTAATAAAGCACACACACACAGACACACGTAATAAAGCACACACACACACGTACGCGTGCATACTCAGACGCACGCTCGCTCGGGTGCGGATGAAACCCGCGCTGAATAATGAAGCATCGCGCGCGCTCCTCTTTGCGCCCGAATGAGGGCCACGCAGAGCGCCCATGCCACAAACGTGACCCTAATTGGAGCAATTAATCCGGCAATGGACGGCGGGCGGTATAAATATTTTATTAGATTCGTGGATGAGAGTTCTGTGTGTGCCCCTCTCTCTTTCTCGCTCTCTCTCTCCGCGGTTTTTTTTGCTTGTTGTTGAACCTCGGAATTCACATCCACAGAGACAATCTCGCCTGAAGCCGGCTGCTGTGTCTGTGGAAGTGCCCGCGCACCGAGTGTCGCCTCGCGGCCGACAGTTGAAGCGTCAGACCGCGACGAATCCCGAGTTCATGTCACAGTGCTTCTCAACTGCCCTCCCCCAGGTCGCCAATAACTAAACACGTTCATTAACAGCACTGCCGTGAAAGGAAAAGTATTACGTAGGCGACGTTTCGGTCAATGACGCTTCTTCATAGCACGTGTTACGAATAGGGCCTCGATGCACGGGCAGATGATCCCATCGTCCACGCAT